ATATGTATATGAGGCGATATAGTTTTGAGTTAGCATGAGACTAGATGTAGGTCTATTCGTCTATATAGATAATTCGAGCGAATAGGAATTGAGAAGAATTGACAGATGAGAGAGATGTATCGACATATATATATGTATTGTATAAAAGTGAAAAAGTAGAGATGGAACGAAATTTACTGCGAGATTGAATTTTTCTTTGATAAGGACAAATTATAAGGACCATTTGCCCATATTAGACTACAAATTCATCGAGATTAAGGTGGAATTTGATCAACAATTACAATTTGTATCAGATCGATGAGAATAAATCAAGAGAAATAAAAATTTATTTTTCGATCAAAAGAGATCTTAGTACTTAAATATTTCAGAATGAATTTATATACATAGTTCAGTTTTGCAAACCGCACGCCGAAATCTTTTTCGGTCTTGAAACGCAATTATGAACAGAATTGAAGATTATTAATGATGTATTGACAAGCAATTTAATCATTTTATATATTAATAAGCATCTTAGGATATTAGTAATTTGATTTATTGTGAAAAATATTGCCTCAGCTGGGATTCAAACCCAGATATGGCAATAAGTTAAATAATTTATGGTTCTTAAAATGCTTAAATTAGTATCAAACTAATTAATATCTTTCTTAAGATGCTTAGTATAAAAAATTAATTATAAAATTATAAAATATTATTAGTGCTTGTCAATTTAATATGTAGTGCCGCTACTTTAATTCTGTTCATGATTGCGCTTCAAGACTGATAAAAATTTCGATGCGTGGTTTGGATATAAATTTACTCTGAGATATTTAGACTAAGATCCGTGTTGACCGAAAAATCGGTTTATTTCTCTTAATGAGTTTGATCAATCAAAGCAAGGTTCATTTGATATTGATTTGCTTTCTTCTGATTGGTTGAATTCAATCTCAATCTCAAATCTCAATCTTGTCTGATATAAAGATCTTATAACAGAGTCTGATCAAGAGCTGACAAACTTTCAATTAGCTCCTTGTTTTTGTTAACTTCAATAAGTTAAAATGCGTGAGATAATATAAGTTAGAATGAGATAACATTTAAAAAAAGACAGTATATATATAT